AATTGTGAGATAGTCAATTTGGAGCCTCTTTCGGAAAAAGAAGCATTACAACTATTTTTGAATAAAGTTGGAAGTGCAGTTTTAACTGCTAGTGGAGGCATTATAAATACACTAGAACCAACTTTGAGACAAGTTGTGGAGGAATGTGGAGGTTTGCCTCTTGCTATTGTTACAGTTGCAAGTTCTATGAAAAAGGAATCTAGCCCTCAGTTGTGGCAAAATGCACTAGATGAGTTAAGAAATCGTAGAAGAATTGTGGCTGGTACAATAGTTGTGGAAGGTTCAATGAATGATGCATTTGAGATATTAAAATTCAGCTTTGATCGTTTAAATGATGAAAAAATCCAAGATTGCTTCTTACACTGTGCACTATATCCTGAAGACTTTGCAATTCGAAAAAGGAAGCTAATTGAGTCTTGGATTGAAGAAGGATTTATTGCTCCAATGGAAACTAGACATAAGATGAATTGTCAGGGCCATGCTATTCTAAGGAAGTTGGAAGATAACTGCTTGTTACAAATAGTTCAGACTGCCCAAAGTAGAATATTTGATGATGAAGATGAAAAAGCTGTGAAGATGCATGATCTTTTGAGAGATATGGCTTTGGATATCACAAGCAAGAGTCCTCGGTTCTTGGTAAAATCTGGCATGAACATCAGAGAGCTACCAAACAAGGAACAATGGACAGAGGATTTGAAGAGGGTTTCCTTGATGAGGAATTCAATGGAAGAGATTTCTAGAGATTTGTCTTCTCCAGAATGCCGAACGCTTACAACCTTGTTGTTGTCCCATAACAGCTTATCAAACCTTCCAGATTCCTTTTTTGAGCAGATGAATGAACTCAAGATTCTTGATCTCTCCAAAAATTATGAATTGAAGAGTCTGCCAAATTCCGTCTCCAAATTGAAAAACCTCACCACATTGCTATTAATTGGTTGTAGGCAGCTAAGAAAGGTGCCAGCTTTATCTAATTGTCAAGCCATAACAAAGTTGGACTTTAACAGGTCTGGAATTGAAGAAATCCCAGAAGGTATGGAAATGTTGGTAAATCTCAAATATCTTAATCTTAATCATACAAAAATAAGAAGACTGCCTGAAGGAATATTACAAGGACTATCATGTCTTCAGATACTAGCATTAAGAATAACAGGGATACAAGTAAAAGGGGAAGACTTATGGCCACTAGAGAAATTAGAATGCTTTGGTGGGATGCTAAACGATTGGAATGAGTTGAGCATTTTCTGCAAAATGATGCAAAGCAGAAAGGAACGAATCAGAGATTATTTACTCGATATTGGATCTGGAGAAGAAGAGATTGTCGAAGAAACAACACTCGGCCGGAGATGGGTTAAAATATCATGTCTACCAATTGCTTCTGAAAAGCGTGTTCCTCTACCCCACAATGTTGAGACAATTGAATTCAGAAGATGTCATGACTTCAAATGCGTAGACCAACTTTCTTTCTTGAAAGATACAGTCAACTTGACAACATGCCTGCTTTCTGAGTGTCAAAGCATAGAGTTTGCTTTCTCCTCATTGTTCAACTTCAACCCGCTTCAATCCCTTCAGTTTCTGGTGCTTGACCAATTAGAAAACCTAAAATCCCTTTTTGAAGAAGAAGCTCTGGCTCCATCAGCACTTTCTTTCCCTCTGAAAACTATCTCTATCATGGATTGCCCTAAAATAAAAAAGTTGTTCTCGCCTAGGTTGCTGGTTTGGCACCTTCAGAATCTAGAATCTATTCTAGTGTTTGATTGTGAAGAATTGGAGGAAATAATAGCATCTGAGGGGTCCAAAGAAGAAGACGGTAAACTCCCTCTCCCCAAACTGAAAATTCTCGGCCTGAGAAACATGCCCAAATTGAAAAGCATCTGTGGCAGAACCAGAGTGTTGGTGTGTGATTCTCTTGAGGCTTTGGGAATTGTTGATTGTCCAATGCTGAAAAGAGTTCCTCTTTCACCTCCTCCTTCTCTAAAAGATATCAAGGTATCTTCGGAAGAGTCATGGGAATCGTTGGAGTGGGAGCATCCCAATGCAAAGGATATCCTTTTGCCCTTAGTTGAATTTGATCGTTAGGATTGAAGAACTTCAAACTACTCGGTGATTCACCACAAACAAAGGTAAGCCTTTCATCTTTAAGTCTCCATTTAGGATTCAGTTCCAAACATTTTTATATTTACGCTTCCACTGTTTCTTTCTTTCTTAATAAATATCTTTGATTGAAAATGATTCCTTTTTCTTTCTTCTTTCCAGACACCCTATTACATGTTGGCCAGAGCAATGAAATGAAGCAAGATGAATAAATTGCACCATTTTTTTCTTGATTTGGGACTTCGTTTTTTCCTTTGTTGTGATTTCAAATGTCAAATTCTAAATGCAACGTTTCCTTTGTGTGGCTTGCATTTCATTCTATGTGAATTATGTGGTAAAAATTGTTATGTTTCTTTGTGTGTAATTTTATAGTTCTGTTTGTAATGAAGTTTATATTTTTTATTGAATGTACTGGAGTATTTGTTTGTTTCCTTTTCTATAATAGTGAGAATTTGTTCTTAAATTTCATTTTCTTCTTTTCTACCCTGCCAAATCCTTTTCTTCTTCATTTATACCATACTAGTGTCATATTACGTTGGGTTTTTTTGATATATACCTGAAAAGATTAATAAATTTTGTGTTGTTTTGTTGCCAAAATTGTATAGCATAGTCCTTTTTCCTTTAATTCTACTTTCCCTCTTGCATATGATCAATGCCGGTGTGTTTTAGCCTTCTTTGAGAATGGTGGGAATCATTCACTAAAGGGCCATTCAAACAAATATGATGTCCCTTAACCTTTTCTTGATTCAATAAGGATTGAACAACTACAAGCTGCTTGATGATTTGCTGCAAACAACAGTAAACCTTTTACCTTAAGGTTTCTACTCAAGATTGAGTTTGATTCTTTTTTATTTCAATGCTTTCCCTTTTGTTTCCTTTTATATAACATCCTTGCCAATGTTTCCTCTTTCTTTCTTCCTTTTTAGATACATCGTAGCAAGTCAAGACATGTTTCCAGAGCAAGGAAAATAGTAGGATGAAATCACGCATTCTCTCTGAAGTTATTCCTTATCTTCTCACAAAATTTACTTTGTGTCTGCACTTTGAGTCTTTGTTCTTCTCAGAATTGTTGAAGACAGACTAGTGCTAGGAATATGAATGAACTTTAATAAATACTATGGGATTGTTAAAATTGGTGATTCTGCTTCTAGAGAATCTTGGCAATATCCTTCTCTCTCTCAACACACACAATGTGTAGAGTAATTCCTTGGTTAGAATAGTAGATAAAGTCTAGCACAAATTGACTAGAAACTGGTTTTCTGATCTGTCTGCTATTAGAAATCATCAGCTTAATTTCATATAGGTTGGGAATTTTTTTTTTTTTTATTTCTTTTAGAAATATTCAGATTTCTATAATCCCATTACTTGGTTTGGCTTGAAATTTTGTTTCAGACAGAAGTTGTGGATAGCAATGAGTATGAGTGGTAGATTGATGCAAACAGAGACAATGTCTATTAATGGGATTGGTATCCACTGCTGAGTTACTGCTCATAGACTAGGAGGAACTATGAAAGCATTGATGAGGTGGATGTCAAGCGTACCCCTGGATACATGAAGAGCATCGGTAATTGACTAGTTGTTCTAATCTATTGATTTGTGGTTGTTTGGAATCTCTACAATTGAAATTCTAAGAGGAACTGAAGAGGGTTCCTCTGTATCTTAATTCCCCTACTTAATAATGGCCAACCATACCATCTCCTCTTCCTTTTCTCAGTGATTTTGAGGTGTCTCCAAAAGAATGGTGGAAATTGTTGGAGTTGGAGTGGGATTAACTCAAGACAAAGGGTTTCCTTTTACCCTTTCGTACTAAATATTCTGACACAATTGGCCACAAATAGTGTCAGACATTTTCTCCAATTTTTCACTTAGAATTTGATTTGACAAGCTTTTTCTTTCTTCTTGCTTTTCCTGTCTTTTCTTATTGGTTAAATACTTTTTTTTATCCTTCTATTATAAGAAAAAGCTCTCTTTTTTTTGTCTTTATACCGAAAAAATTCCCTTTGGAATCCTTAAATTTTAAAATTCGATCCATTTTTAGTTCTCCGTTAATTTTTGCTCACGTGGCACGTTAACTTAACTGGAACAATTGATGTGGATATGCCAACGTGTAAAAGATGCTTACATGAACTTAATGACACCCTCCATGTCACCCTCCCCCACGCGAAAAAGAAAAGAAAAGAGGTTAAATGCGAAATTTGATTTCTCAACTTTATAGGTTTATACTTTTTTGGTCCTTAAATTATTTTTTTCATTTTTTTTATCTTTAAACTCTAAAATTTGCACAATTTTGGTCACTCCATCAGTTAAGCATGACATGACAATTAAATAATTCCATTTGACATTTTTTTTAAATTTTTTTGATGACATGGCAATTATATATATATTATAATTATGTTATATAAATAAATAAAAATGTCAAGTAATAAATATATATATTTTAATTTAAAAAATAAAATTACATTATTATCCTCATCTCCCAATCCCTCTTCTTCCCCTTCTTTCTTTCTCTTTCTTTCTTTCCTACACAGATCGGTTGGGTTCCGATGAGCTGGGTAGCTGGGTTTCGTCGAAACCCAGCTGTTGGGTTCGCGTGACCAACAAGGCTGGGTTTCGACCAACCCAAGCTCGACAAAACCAGCAAGGCTGGGTTTCGACATTGGGTTCATGTCTTTTCATTCTTCTTTTGATTTTCATTTTCGATTCTTGATAAATTTGAGAGTTGATTTACAATTTGATTGCATTTTTGTTGGAATTGGATTAGAGTTTGATTAATATTGTTTATTGAAGGGTTAATTTGATTTGGTGAGATCTACTGGTTTGATGAACTCAGTGGCTTTAATGAAACCAGTAACTGGGTTCGATGACAGAGAACTCAAATTTTGCTCTGGAGCATTTTAGGATTCATAGTTTTTTTCAAGTTTTAGTGAGTTTGATTTGTGAGAATATGAACTCTCAATGTCATAGCGTTTAACCTTTTATGGGTCGACCAGCAGTTGGCTTTCAACGAATCCAGCTGATCTGGGTAGGAAAGAAAGAAAGAGAAAGAAAGAAAGGGAAGAAGAGGGATTGGGAGGTGAGGGTAATAATGAAATTTTATTTTTTAATTAAAATATAAGTATTTATCTACATTTTAATTTATCTATATAACATAATTATAATATATATAATTGCCATGTCATAAAAAAAATTAAAAGAAAATGTCAAATGAAATTATTTAACTGTCACTTCATGCTTAACTGACAAAGGGACCAAAATTGTGCAATTTTTAGAGTTAAAAGATAAAAAAATGAAAAAAATAATTTAAGGACCAAAAAAGTGCAAACCTATAAAGTTGGGGAATCAAATTTAGCATTTAACTTCTTTTTTTTCCTTTTCTGCGCAGGGGAGTGTGACATAGAGGGTGTCACTAAATCCATGTAAGCATCTTTTACATGTTGGCATATCCACATCAGCTGTTTCAGTTAAATTAACATGCCACATGAGTAAAAATTAACGGAAGGAGTAAAAAAGGATCAGATTTTAAAATTGAAGGATCCAAAAGGAGATTTTTTCGGTACAGAGACAAAAAAAGACTTTTCCCTATAGTTGAAGGACCAAAAAGGGTATTTAACCTTTCTCATTTTCTTCCTTGTTTGATGCAGTCATTTGCCCTTCTTCATCCTTTTTTAGATGAAGGCTGCAAATTGTGACATATTTCTTGAGTGATGAAACAGACTGAGGAAATTGCATGTACACTTCAAAGGTTTGAACTTTGAGACTCGGTAATTTTGCTTTTTCCATTTGTTGTGTTTTCAAATATCAAATTCTTTTGGCTTCATTCCTGTTATCTATCATGAAAAAATCACTGAAGATGATAAGCTAGGAAATCTCAGAAGAATCGAATCAACTAGCAGACTTAAGTATCTCTTTACTTTTTTCCATGCGATATTGTTTTCTATATCCTTCTCATACATTTACATTACTTTTTAACGGACACAAATACACAGTATTGTGTTCCTGAAATTTATTATCTTCATTTTAGATGTTTCCTTGAAGTGTGTTAAGCACATAGTGGTTTAAGTCCCTGATCTCACTAAAATATTTGTTTAGCTTTTCTTTTCTTGACTCATGTTTTCGGTATGTCAAAATGACTGATGTTTCCTTTTCCTTTCTGAATGAATATTCGATTGCATCCTAATTTATTCAAAATATTTGGTTCTGTCTAACTTTGTCTCAAATCCTAGGAGTCAGAGAGCTGTGGGGATTGGATGGAAAGCATGTCAATTTTGCTTATATTATTCTCTACATTGGCCTTATGAGGTAGCTTTGTTTGGTCTTCAAAGCTTACCACAACACCAACAATGAGATTGTTGATGCATGTGCCTCTGCATTTAGAAATTCTTGGTAATTCTTCTCTCTTTCTAATTCCATGGACGTATATTGATGTTCCTTTACTGGAATAATGAAACTTTGGTTTCTTTTTCTAATAGAAATTATCAGATTTATTCCATCAAGTGATGATGTTTGGTTTTATTTATTTTCTTTGGGAATTCATGGAATTCAATTTTTTGTTTTTACCATGCGCGTCTATTTCTTCATGAAAAATTGACTTAAGACATCTTGTGGATGTGATGCCCAGAGATAAGTTTCTAGACTGAAAGTTCTTTCCCCCCGTTTTTTTTTTTTTTTTTGTGATTTTCTCTTAGAAACCAATTGAGCAAGAGAAATTCATTAAATGCCGGTCAATGTATTAGATCTAAAAGTCATAAGCGCATTTATTCAAGATCTAAAACTCCAAGCGCTTTCTTGCTGCTTAAAATTTTATATAAAAATAGAGAATATTTTGAGTACAAAGTTTTCGTGAAATTTATCTTCTTCTTAATGAACATGCTGGTAAACGTCTTTCAACAGTCTCTTCCCATTTTTTCCTTTCTAGGGTCTAATATTTACATGTAGACATGCTACATTGATGCATCTCTGGGCTGGCTGGTGCATGTGACTTTGTTTTCTTGGTGCTGTGCTAGCAAACCATGTGGGTGATGAGAGGCAACTGATGCACTACTTAAAAAAAATCCAAAGAGGTACTTGGTTGTTCTATCATTTTTTACGTGAGAAAAATTCTTATCTCAAATAGCATTGTCCCATGCATCATATTTGCTTTCCTAATCTTGTGCTCGGAATTTATAGAGAATTTATGCAGAGACAAGTTGTTGATAAAATTACTCATCAAAGTAAAGGAATTGAATTAAACCATCTACTTGGGGGTTGGTGTAACATGGTGCTTTTGGTACCAGAAGTACATTTGCAGAAGCAGCTTAGGTAATCCTTACCAACCGTCTTGTGCATTGTTGTTGTTTCTGCATTGGACAAGACAATTCATAATGTAGCCTCAAGGTTTAAAATTAAGAAGGATCAATTGATTTTCTAATAGGTAACATGATTTTAATCGTATTCTCTTCTTGTTGCTTATCAACATAGTGTGCATAGCCAGTAGAGAGCAAATTTGCTCATGGCTCTTTGTCCACAATATCCTAATTTATTAGGTTTTTGAAGAAAGAGAGTTTCTGCAAGCAATTTTTTTGGAAAAAGAGAGTTTCTGCAAGCAATAGTGATATGGGATCAGGTCAACTTGAAAGTGGGTACCTATGAAAGCTGAAATCTTTTGGTTCCTTTCTGCCATGAAGCTTTAAATGGGGGAGCATTATGCACGGAAGTGATCGCGCCCATTCATCTTTTCTAGCCTATGGGAGACGGAAAGCACTTTGAGCCTCTTTCCTGGGAGAGCTTGTTGGAAGCAGAACTACTTGCGCAGATGGAGAAGGTGAGACTGGTTTGAGAAAGGGCAGATAGCTGGGTCTAGAGTGTCCAGAAATCAAGAAAGTACTTACAACTAAATGCCATGAGTTGCTCTCTACCACTTGCCCTGTTCTGTTGAAGCATGGAAGATTACATTAGATTTTTCTTCTATTTCAATGTTATTTTGCTATGTAATGTTATGGTTGTCCTCATTTGGAGGAGATCTCTAACAATATGTAATCCTGAATACATGGCGCCATGTTTTGTGGCCAAGTTATCAAACTAAATATCTTAAGTTGGAGTAGGTACACTCTTCAATTGTAATGGTTGCTAATATATTACGCAATCTCTGTTCATTTTGAGTTTGTCAAGTTAATGGGAGGAAAGGGAAGGAGATTCTTCTGCTTCTCTACGCTTAATATCAACTTTCCAGTAGACAAATTCTGGTGATAACTTTTCAAATATTTTTCAATGTTCACAAATTCCAGTGATTTAAAAAAATTTTAAATATTTTAAACTCGCTGATTTGGTCCATATTTTTTAGATAAGTCAAAATATATTAATATAAAATATAAAAAGTATTCATACCCATATACATATCCTATATAAGAGTTGTCTTCTTTCATAAGAAACCTAATCTAACAAATACAGAAATTAAGCAATAAATCCAAAAACAGACTCGATTCTAGAGCCATCTAATGCAGAGTTTCCACCACTGAGAATGCAAACACACTTCCCTCCATCTTTTCACGGAGCAAAACGAAAGTCCTTTACTAACGAAGGGTTGGATCAAGTGGTAAGCGACTTGTTTCAGTTTAAGTAAGATCTCGAGTTCGAGTCCTTGCGTACGCAGCAGCCTTCGTTGGGAGACTCACCCACCATTTCCAGGTGCGCGACACTGGTCGGGTCCGGATTAGTCGGGGCGAAACCTCGATACCGGACGGAAAACCGAAAAAAAAACGAAAGTCCTTTGGATCAAGACATTTTTGTCCATATTCATAAATTATGATGGTTATCTCATATTCTTTTTATCTTAAAATAATTATTTTTTAATATTTTTTAATTAAAAATTATAAAATAATATTTATATTTATTTATATAAACTACAATTTATTATGTAATTTAAGTATTAAAATTATTAAAATATTATTAATAAATAAATATAAAAATGATTTTATTAAGAATATTATAC